GAAAGTACAGAACGTTCCCAGACCTTGCAGTGCCCTCCCCCAGGAAGCCAGCTCCATGTCCAGCGTGTTCCTTCAGGACCACTGCTTGCTCCTAGGGGCACCGTCACTCTCACCTTGTACAAGCTGTATGGCATGTTCTCAAAGTCCACCTGCAGCAGGTTGCCCAGGGCAGGCACTGGCAGGGGGCCCGGTGGGTAGTGGGAAGTCCAGAACTTGCGTTGGTGCATCAGGTCCACCAGTAGCAGGAAGATGGCCGTGAATACAGCCACAGACCACAGTGAATCCCCAGTCACCCACCCCATGGCTGCCACACTGCTTTCTGGCTTCTGTGAGAAAACTTCACGCCAGCCACCCAGGAGCATAAAGAGCACTATTGCCACAGTTTGGGCACCTGGTGCTTTATAAAGGAACCGAGGCTACCCTTTGTACTGTACCTTTAGCCGAGCCTAACTGCTGTGTTATTGATCAACCAGAGGGTACAGGAGTGGTCAAAGTGGTACTGCAGGGCAAAGTCTGAGGGTTCTGCCCTTTCTTCCCTGCCCAGGTGCTATGCAGAGAAGTGGCATCAACTGGGAGCTGAGCTCACAGGGCTGTGCCTAGTGGTTACGCTATGCTGGACACTGAGCATGGTGGGCAGGTGTCCAGGGGACCCTAATCTGAGGTACACTGTCACAATGCATTGAGTATTCAGCTGACATATCACACTGGCAGAGATTGAAGGGGCTGAGCACATCCCCTATGGCTGGAATAAGACCCTCCTGGAGTGCACGATTGGCGCATGAGGGGCTGACTGGCACTGCGGGCCTTGCTCCTGGTTGTGGCATCAACTGCCACTGAAATGGCTGATGGGGCTCCTGGTTGTGGCATCAAGTGCCACTGAAATGGCTGATGGGGGTGAGGAAGGGGACTTGGGAGGAAGGGAGCTGAGCCTGGGAAACTCAAGGGCAGGTTTGACAACTCTTGACTTGTCAATTCTTAGGTCCAGCATGAGAAGTTGAGAAAGTCCCTGGGTGGGAAGGATGGTGCAGGTCCTTGTCACATGGAAACAATGGTCCTTTGTTCATGCTCTGCCTCTTGCTGGGTCAAGTCTTCTGCCCACGGTCATCCTTACTAGGGATATAACGGGCAGTGTCCTCCTGCCAGAGGCCTGTGGTTAGGATTTGCCGGTCATGAGGAAAACTGGGAGATGAGGCCCGGGCCTTACCTAAGCGGCCTTATCTGCCAGGCCTGCTGGACTCCTCACTGCTCACGCCATCTCAGTTCTCCTCGCTGGGGTCGATGAAGCAGCGATCCCTGTCCTCACTGGGAATCTAGACGTGCAATATCAAAGGCCCACGTGTCCCAGCAGAATCCAGGCAGAGCGTCTCTGCTGCATCCTTCAGTGTGGCAGGAAGGAAGCAGCAGCTGAGGTCAGCAGAGATGAGCTCGCCACCACACAAGGCAAGAACTGCGATCTTCTCAGCCGCCCGTGCCGCCTCCTTCCCGTCTGCCCACCTCTTGTCACAGAGGTCTGGGGAGAACGCCCTTCCCGATGCTGGTCATCAGTGCCCAGGACACGCCCTCTGCTCCTGTCCAACTGAGTTATGGTAGGATGGCATCCTGAGTTGAGGTGCAGACAATGCCTTCCCATGGCTCCGACTTGGCCTGAAAAGAAACTCACAATGCACGGGAACAAGGACACCAGCATGGATGGGGAAGGGGAAGAGTAACTGTACTCTGGTCACCCGGAGGCTCAGACAGGTCACTTTCTCCTTGCCCGCCTAGGGACACTCCCAGGAAAACTTGATGCTTGAGGGCTAACCATAGTTGTTCATACCGACACACAGTCAGCCCTCCCTCATTTGTCCATCACTTTGGGGTGGCCTACATGAAGTCATGGAAGAGAAACAATGGTGTTGACTGGTTCTTGGCCTCCATGCGGGGTGGGCAGAGTGGAACCTGACTTACCTGCCTTTATCTAAGTGACCCTGGTGAGGTGAAGTATAGTAGTCAGGATTGGGACGGCACAGACTGCAACTCGTAAAGGGTCGTCTGGTCTGTCAGCAGCTCTTGGAGATGACCTGGATGCTTGCTGAACTTCTGTGCACCAGGACTGTCTGTTTCCCTTCAACCTCATTTCATGCCCTGAGGTGACGGGAACTGCTATTTTGTTCTGTCAGGATCATTATTTCTCCTAAAGTGGCAAGGGGCTTCCTGTTAATGTCAGCTCGTCAGGTGCTCCATGTCTAAAACTGCAAGTCAGAGCTGAGTCCCGGCCACCTTGGGCAAGGTGCCCTCAGATTTGTAATACTCCAGGTACATGTGTCAATAGATGCTTAATCACTGTCCTTTGGACTCCAGAAAGAGGACAACTGGCACCTGGGTGTCTCTCCAGGACTCTGTCCTGTGAGCTGTTGACTTTGCTGACTTCATTCTGCATTGAACTATACTGAACCCCACAGTGAGTCCATCAGCATTTCCCAAGTCTCAGTCCTTTCCCTCCTCATTAGTGCAAAGTGCTGGCAGAGCTGTTGTGTGAAGTGTCCACCAGAAAGCTGTGACTCTCAGAGGATTCTGCCTTCTGAGAGCTTAGTTTGGACAAAGGAAGGCTATGGGGATGGTGGTTGGGGAGCTTGCATTCCTGAACTGTTGTTGCATACCTCACCCCGTGATTCCACAGCTGCACTGTGATCAGTTACACTAGGATGTTACCTATGGAATTACGAACAGAACCAGTGCCCGAGATGGGCACACCTGGTATGTAAGAAGTGCAACGTAACAGGAATCAAGCCTAGTATACAATTCTTTGATAATGCTTATGTTTAACTAAAATGGAAACACTGGAGACTGCTGAGCGTGATCATGGTACTGATCCCACCTGGATTTCCACCTCCCGAGTTATTGATGTAGTTGTCACAATAACAGATTACTCTGGAAGAATAGAGGGCCCTGTGACCTCTGATCACAAAGAACATAGGTCAAGGGGGTGTGGGGTAGGGCAAACCCAGGGCCCAGGTAAAATCAGCGTGGAGTTGTTTCCTACAGTCAGTTCCTATGTGGGGCTCATGAGAATTTCAACTCAACTGGGATGTGACAGTAATGCACCGGGGGCTCTTGTTCTGAGCACAGCAGAAGTTGTGAGCTTGTCTGTAAGATACAGGACCAGAGCTCATCTGGGACCACCCCAGGACTGGGAAAGAAAACAATAAAAGGCATCCCAGTAAGGAAGGACACATGGGGCTGGAGAGACAGCTCAGCGGTCAAGAACACTGACTGTTCTTGCAGAAGACCCAGGTTCGAATCCCAGCACCCACATGGCAGCTAACAACTGTCTGTAACTCCAGTTCCAGGGGATCTGACAGCCTCTTCTGTCTTCCGAGGGCATTGTACCACACGGGTGCACTTACCTACATGTAGGCAATACACGTATACACAGAAAATAAAAATAATATTTTTTTTAAAAAAAAGGAAGGAGGAATGAACAGGATCTTTGATCTTAGGTGATCTCATTTTGTAAGTAGCAAAAATTAGCTTTACATGGATCAAAGATCTGGAGGCATGAACTTACCTATACTGCTCTTACAAGGATGCACAGGGCAAAAGCTTCACAACAATGGTCTGGCAGTGATCATTTTGGATAGGACAAACTGTGCTGGATGGCTGGTTGTCAACTTGACACAACCGGGTGTGGGGAGACCTCAATTGAGGAATTGTCTCCATTGGATTGGGCTGTGGCCAAGTCTGTTGAATGACATGGGAGGGCCCAGCCTAGTGTGGGCGACGCCATCCCTAGGCAGGTGTTCCTGTACTATATAAGAAAGCAGGACTGAGCACAGGTTAGGAGAGCAAGCCAGTAAGCAGCGCTTCTCCACGGTCTGTGCTCCAGGTTCTTGCCCTTGGTGATGAACTGTGCTATAAGCCATAAACCCTTTCCTCCCCAAGGCGAGTTTGGTCAGAGCAATTTGTTTTTGTTTTTAAATAACAGCAATAGAAAGTAAGACGGGCACCAACACCAAAGATGTTAGAGGAACAAGCATCAGAACAGAAACAAAAACAGACTGAGTTTCTTGAAAGTTACAAACCACTATGTGTGAAAAGTCAGTGAAATGGCTCAGTAGGTAAGGAAACTTGCCAGCTACCCTCACGAGCTGAGCTTCATCCCCAGGAGCTATGCTATTAAGGAGAATTCCAGATCCTTCAGTTTTCTCTGAACTCCACATTCATGAGGCAACTTGTGTCCTCACAAACTCATGTTTTCCAAAGTAAACTTTTTTCATTATTGTTTTAAAAGAGGGGAAGAGAAACGATGGGCAAGCATAATCAAAAGCCACAGATCTGACAAGACATTGAAACCTAGAATATACACAGCACAATGAAAACAAGACATCAGAAGTAAGATATGAGCCAAGGAATCAAATGGACATTTACCCAAAGAAAATATGTAGCCGGCAAGCTCATGGTATGATGCTCAATGGCTCTCATTATTAGAGCAATGAGACCACCATGTCGAACCCACTGGGGTGGCTTCTAGCAAAACAGTCCTAGAAAATAAGGATTTCCAAGAGGTGACAGTTGTGGAGGCTTGTGCGTGCTTAATGGGGATGTCAGAGAGTAGGAGCTCTGAGGACAGAAGTTCAGTAACTCCTAAGAACAATTAAGGAGAATTACATGATCCAGAATTCCCATCTAAGAATACCTGCAGTTCTCAGGAGGATAATTATACATCCATGCTCAAAGCTACATCGTTCACAATGGTTGAAAAGAGAGTGAACAGAAATGCTGATTGATGTTTCTGGAGCCTGCCTTACCCATGGGGCTAAGTCTAAGACCACCAGTGGATGCCTAAAATGTCTAATAGAACCCAAGTATAAAACAATCTATGACTTTCCTATGCACACAGAATTACGATAAGTATTAAGCTATTTAGGGAAAGCAAAAGGTCAATAGCAATAATAGAGTATAACATGATAAATTTTCTGAATTCAGGCCCTCAAACTGCATCTTTTACTCAACATGCTTTTCGTGTGGTGGAAGATGTTCCACTGTACGTGATGAGGACAGTGACCCGGCACTTGTCTACTGTGCCTTCTTCCTTAAGTGCAGGCACTGTGCACCCACAGCATTTCATCTGGTAATGGAGCCCTCTATGAAGTAACTGTTAAGAACTGACTTGAGTATTGCTGGAAAAGGCATCGTTGGTGTGCACAGCGATTGGGACTGGTGAGGAAGTCCAAGTCGATCACGTTAGTGTGGCTCGAAATGTAAAATTTATCTCTCAACTTTTCCATTTTAGATAGTTGATTAGTGGTTGTCCATTCTGAACTAAATAAAACCAAAGAATCTGTAAGGTTGGACTACTACACATCCGTGTAACAGAATGTTGTTTCACCTTAAAAGTACTGACAT